AAAAAAGACCAGATTTACTGGCCTGAAAGAGACTGGAGAAACCCTGGGAGTATGGCCCCGGACACCCTTCTAGCTCAGTCGTGAAGTCACTCCCGAGGTTCGCCATTCAGCCTGGGACTGGACAGCCCCATAAAACAAAATTGGACTAATGAAGCACAGAAGTCCAGGGATAAGGACTAGAAGGCATAAGGGGACAGGAAAGCTAGTGATAGGGAACTCAAGGTTGAGTAAGGACAGTGTTGACATGTAGTAGGGTTCTTAACCATTGTCATAGGGCAATATGTGTACTAACTGTTTAATGAGAAACTATTTTGTTCTGTAAACCTTCGTCTAAAGTGAGAATAGCAGCACAACTGGAAGAACGTAATCGATGTAACTCAATTGTACATGTAGAAATTTTTGAAATGGTGTATCTTTGGCTATGTATCTTTTCACCAAAAAAAAAAAAAAGGGTCCTCCAAGGCCGATAAGGGAGTGTATTGACATGTCATGGGGTTGTTAACCAATGTCATAAAACAATATATGTACTGACTGTTTAATGAGAAAATATTTGTTCTGTAAACCTTCACCTAAAGTACAATAAGTTTATCACTTATCTTTTTATTTTGTGTATTGAATTTTATGCCGTACAAAATTTTCGTATTTATATATAATCAAATTTATCTATACTTTATCTATATTTAACCTTTAGAAATGTTTGTGGTCACTTTTTGCAGTAATAAGTACTACATTGGCAAGGAACAGCCAGGGTCAGTTGAAAAAGGGTTCTATTTCCCATGTTTTGTGATAATGTGTTTATCTTTTCTTGTCTCAGGAAGAACCTTGGGAGTGTTTCAAGAAGGCTTATGATGTATTCTGTGGTTTGCAGAAGAAAGCCCCTAAGCTGACCAAAGAGGAGGAAGAAGCCCTGAAGAAGAAGCTGACAGACACGTCTGAGAAGCCCTTATGGAGGACTATCGTGAACATCAATGCCATCCTCCTCCTGGCAGTGGTGGTCTTCGTCCATGGCTACTTTGCCTGAACTCTTGACTGAGCTGCTCAAATATTAATTAAGCAAAGCATAATTTTATTGATTTTCACTTTTATAGATTTTGTGAAGCATAAGAGAGAGTTTGTAATTTTATCTAATGAGATGACTATAGACCTGGTTGTTTGCTTTTATTTTTCCTTTGTGCCAATAAAAAAAGAGTGTTATTGCTGTTGTTGTCAGGTGCCATCGTATCAGTTCTGACTCATAGTGATCCTATGTACAACAGAATGAACACTTCCTGGTCCTGCAGTGATTATTTAGAAAGCCAAGGAAGTGACCCTATATGTGTATAAACTAGGAATATTAGGTCCAAATTCTTTTTTTTAATAGCTCTCCAAGCAGACTGTCCTAACTTATACTTGCTTTCTGCAGTTTCTGAAGATATCCAATTGGAAAGAACGCCTCTTCCAACTCTGCCACACCTAGTAACCTCTTCATCTATAAAACAGTGATGTTCTCCGCCTATATTCACCTCACTGATTTAAAGGTTGAAATATATATTTTCTAATAGGTAGGTGGTAGGGTGAGCTGAAAATCCTTGTTGCAAACTTTTTTATGAATCTAATGGAAATTATTAGCTTATGTTTTAAGTAAATCCATCTTCCCACTAAATGTGACAATATCAAGCCATTGATTTTTGCAACAGCTTTATTGATACGTAATTGTATACCATAAAATTCACCCATTCTGTGGATTTTTAGTATATTCACAGAGCTGTGTAACCATTACCACGATCTAATTTTATATCTTAACATTAATTTATTTTTGGCATGATTTACTTAAATATATACATGTCTCTGACTTTATAGTTCTGTTTTATTTTGCCATTTTGAATGATAGCAATCCCTGTGTGGACTTGGTTTTAAAACACATTTTTGCAAGTTAATGAATTAAAATGTTTTTAAATAAATGACATAAGAAACACATATCTATATTATTGTTATAAAAATTCAGACAATGTTTTGTTCTATAGAATTAAATATGACACTATATACTGACAAACTGGAGTCCCTGGGCACTCGGCTGCTAAGCAAGCTAATAGGTTGGAGTCTACCCAGAGATGCCTTGGAGTAAAGACCTGGTGATCTACTTCTGAAAAATCAGTCATTGAAAATCCTATGGCACACAGCTCTATTCTGACACACATGGCGTTTCTATGAATCAGAACTGACTTGACAGCAACTAGGGAAAAAATGACAATCCACTCCTGTCATCCATGCCACTAACTTCACTGAGGAATAACTGTTAACAGATCAAAGTATAAATTCCAGTAATTTTTCCATTCATTTATGAAATACACAAATTTTTACATAATGTAGTCTTGCTTTATGTGTTGTTCTGTGACAGGCTTTTCTGCATAAAATACACCCACTCTTCACTTTTCAACATGGTTAGCTTCCAAAGACCAGGTCATTAAGCAAAAATCAGCATTATGCAAAAATGGAGGATGACCACACCAGATCACAAAATGGAGGATGATTACATCATTCCATAACTGTCAAATTACATCATTTCATAACTGCCAAATTATGTCATTACATAACTGCCAAACAACTGAGAATCATGGCCCAGCCAAGTTGACACATAACCTTAACTATCTCAGACAACGTTACTCTTTCCTTGCACCTCGGCCTTCACTACTGCCAGATAAACTTCATTAATGTGTTAAATAGCTGGATACTAGGTTTTTTACTACTGTCATATATGTGAAATTTTGGATAATGAGATAGTCAGTAAGGGAGGAGTAGGTGTATATCTTGGAAATCTTCGCCTATCAGTCTCCCTCATTTTAAATAGCTTTATCATTATTCCATAGAATGATTTACCATAATTTGGCCACTTTTCCACTGAGGAGCATTCATGTTGGCTAAAATTACACTATTATCAACAATGCTTAAATACACATACCTGTATATTCATCCTTTGGCATATTAGCTAGTTTTTTAGTTTTCTTTAATGACTGATTCCTAGAAACAGCATACTGGGGAAAAGGGTATAAACATATAAAATTTTGATAAAAATTAAAAATTTTTGTTCTGGTGAGATGGAGGCATGATGGTGTGACCAGTTGCATCCTCACGTCTCCCCACAACCATGTCAGAAGAAAAGAAGAATCAATGCAACTGATGATCTCAGAACTCTGTACAGCAACTGAAGTGTTAGAGAACCAAAATGAATGCTAAATCAAGTAAAGATAGAATTACAGACAGTGAGAAAGCAGAGGCTCACAGGCTGTCCTCACCCAACTCGCCAGCCCAGCTCATCATGGCCATTTTGGGAAGCCAGCAGCTGGGATCCCTGATCAGGGAACCCAGGGCAGGAGCAATGCAAAGGACACAGATCAGGATGGAGAGACTGAGAAACAGCCCTGGAACAGAGCAGCAAGTTGGGCAAGGCATGTATCAGGGCTCAGCAAGCCTGGGAGAGAGTTGCGCAATGGCACTGCATAGATTTGAGACCCAGGAACTCCAGAACAGTGCTGACTGAGGAGAATGGTGTGGACTGAACTGTAGGAATACCCAGGTAGGGAACAGGAAGGCTGGAGTGAGCACATCTGGGAAGGGCACAGGGAAAGTGCAACAGTGAAAGTTTGTGCTCCTGTGACTCAAGAAAGTGCAGCACTGGAAAAACATCCTGCGACCCACAAACACACATTGGCCATAGAGCCTGTCCATCAGCCATGGTGGGAAACACCCACCGGCCAAGCACACACTGAGAGCAAGCTAGCTGCAGCATGACCCCTGCCTGATTGCTCAGGCTATTTTCAGAAACCAGAGATAGAGGGCCAAACCTAGCTCTTTGTCCCACGGTTGACACCCTTGGCCTTTGAATATGGTTATATATACCACAGTCGCTTTCCCAAAGTACCATGTTTCAGCTCTGTCAGAGTCTGCTCAAGTACGCCAAATCTGTGAAACACTCACTTTGTCCCCAGTTTCTAAATAGCCAGAAGGCCATTAGAAAAAGGGCACCAATCGCTGGTACTGATTCCTCCATGAATATTACATCCTTCCAATCAGAGTCTAAACACACCAGGTGCTCCCAGAGCATTAATACATGGGAAGTAATTTTTATTACACCTTCTCCTCACTTGTAGAGTATCTTGTTATCTGACATTTCACATTACAGCAACAGTAAAAATCTACTATCCAACTATTTTGGGCATTAATGCTGTACATCTGGCAGTAACGGACGCCGAGGTGAGAGGCAAGAGTAATGCTGGCTGCGATGGTTATGTGTCAACTTGGCTGGGTGACAATCCTCAGTGGTTTGGCAGTTACATAGTGATGTAATTTGGCAGTTATGTAATGATGTAGTCATCCTCCATTTTTGCAAACCATGTCAAAAAGTGAGGAGAGGGTGTACTTACAACAAGAAGCAGATAGCACACCAGAACAAAAGCAAATCCATTTTCCAAGTGTTCCCCAGGATCAAGAAGGCTGTCTGGGCAAAGATGGCTGCTCTTCTATGCACATCCCACTTTGAGCCATAAGTGAGAAACTTGAAAAGGGGACCTATGTTCTTCCAGTCTCCTCTGACCAGGTAGTCTCAGTTAGGTGGGCTGAAAAATTATGCTACATGTGCTTCCACCTAGCACCATAGCTGAGGGACCATGAGGTCCCTCACTTAACCATTTTTATACCCTAAAGCCTACATGACATACCACATTCCCACTGACCAGCCTGGTTGTGGGGGAGGGCACATACCTTAGCACAAACCCAGAAAAGTACCTGTTTTAACCCTGCTCAGGCCTCATTGTACCTTCTCCCTTTCTGTGGCCTGTTGCCAAAGTGATGAGTTGGGGGATTCTCAACTCATTTATACATGTTTAAGTGTTGCTTGGCTGTTTTGGAAAAATGAAAGGTACCTTAATTGCTCAGGCTATTTTCAGAAATGCCAAATAGAGTTCTTTGTCCTACTGTCAGATAAGGAGTTTTCAGACATTACAGTCCGAATTAACTTTGAATTTCCATGGAAACAGAGATCCTCGATCTGCTTCTCAGATCAGGCTTGCTGTTAACCCCTTTATATACACTCTGCTTTACTTTGAGCCTAACAATTTTACTTCATTTAAAGTTTCCCTACATTCCACTTTTCTTCAAAATCCCATAATTATCTTATCTCTCTATTTCTTCCTCTGTTTGGTGAGAAGCTGCACTTCTGCTTGCATTTCTCCCTTGCTGCAGAAGCTGAATCAATCTAGCTTTGTATGTCCACAGGTGTGCTCTAGATGGGCTCCAGCTGATGGGTTTCAAGAGGGGTAAGAAAGGGGCTAGAAGTAAAGATAGAGACTGATGATGTTGGGTCACTGAGCAGAAAACGGTGTCCTTAAAAATACCCTTCCAGGTGAATTAAAACTGGGGAGAAGAGAATGGGGACAAAGAGGAAAGAAGAATAGAGGATGAAGGGGTCAGAAGAAAAGCTGAGACGGGGACAGCAGGTGATGGTCTTTTAACGAAACAGTGGTGCAATCCCTGACTAAGAAGCTGTCTGATGGTGTCCTGTAGACCTTTCAACTAGCTGTGAGAAGTGGAAGAGATCTAACTCTCTTGCAGATGAAGTTAATTATGCATCTTGCAGATTTCCATCCACAGATTTCTGTGGAGAAAGTAATCTGAAGTGGGTAGCAAAGGGGAAAAAAAAAACTGCAAGATGAACATATAGAATCTGTGGATGAGGAAAGGCAGGATGGGCCAGGGCCTTTGAGTGGCCTTAATCACAAGGTTTTTCAATAATGAATCAATGGGAAAGCATCTGTTGCTCCCAGGACTCAGGCATCATGACTCCTGGACTATAGCCTATCAGGAAATAGAAGTGAAGCACCAGCACTCTAATCTGCATTTTGCTAATCTGAATTTGGCCACTGAGTATGATGAAGGGGTACAGGTTCGTTGAAGGACCATCTTCCTTCATGCTAGGGGTGAAGTGGAACCAGGAAGCATCATTATCCACATGCTGGGAGTCTTAGAAGAGCCCTCATGGAAGAGTAG